ATGTTTTTACGTGCTTTGAGAATTTGCAGCCCGGAATTCATTGATGAAGAATATAAATATATCTATAATATTGGCTCAAACCTTAAATACCCTAGATCTTTCATAGACAAATGCCTAAACATTACTAAGAATCTTTTTATAGAACTGATCCCAAGCCCACCCATGACCATAAGAATCTCTTAGTATTACCATTTCACAAAAAATTTCTCTCAAATTCCTTTACAACTAAAAACCTGGAACGTCAATGTGGCATTTAAAAACTCATGGACTGTTAAACAAATGTTAATCAAGAACTCCCCCAACAACACAATTGGTTGCATTTACAAAGTTCCTTGCAAGGAATGTAATATGTTTTACTTAGGCCAGACAGGTAAAGATCTTGTAACTAGACTTAAACAACATAAATATAGTGTTAGGACAGGCCAGGAATCCAATGCTCTGTTTGTTCATTTGAGGGATAATAAGCATTGCATTGACTGGGATAATGCCTCCTCAATATTACCTTGTAATTCAAATGATAGTAGGAACAACATAGAATCCAGTCTCATTAAACATACCGAAGCAGTCAACATGAATTTGAGTAATGGCATGTACGAATTGGACAATTTTGAAATTAAGATGATTTGTAACCAGGTGAGAAGGTTGGGTCACCTTACCCTCTGACCTGACTACCGACCGTTGCTGTGCTTTTTAAAGAATAGTAGGGTCATTGATACACCTTGTTTTGTACTTCTCCTTAGTCTGTACTCACCCCTGAAGATGTGAATTTCACGAAAGCGCTTGGGAACTTCGTGTTTTCTATTTCCTTGTGATTATCAGCATATGCCTGGATCACGCGCACCTACAGTGATTTACTTGCATATATATATATATATATATATATATATATATATATATATATATATATATATATATATATATATATATATATATATATATATATATATATATGCAAATAAATTACTGTAGGTGCGCGTTATCCATGTATATTAGGGAGTGACAGTTTTGCAAAAGTTTTCAAAATCAAGTGGCTTGGGTTGGATTATTTGTCTATCGGCCATGCTGGTTACGAATATGTTTGAATCTTTAACATCAGTGCATTAGAAGGCTTGTGGATACTTTTCGGTTCGACATAAAAAAAAACAAGAATTATGGTAGACATTCTTTATTATTGGCATGTATGCTTCAATTTATCAACAGCACACTAGCACAGTTGGCACACTAACATTGGCTGTCCCCACAGTGTCCCCTCAGTCCCAGTGTCCCCACAGTCTAGCACTGGTAGTCCTCTTTCTTAGCCCTCCGCTTGTTTCTCTTCCTGGCCTCCAGCTTGTTCCAGGTGACCTGGTCCTGCTGCCAGGCAGAGCTGGCCACGTCTGCCGCCTCCGTGGTGAGCTTCACTCCTCTTTCCACTGCGGTGGTGGTGCAGGGCAGACCTGGCTCACTGTACGGTTCCTCCAGAAATTGCTCCAGTTCCTGGTCACTGTGCTGGAACAGGATGGGAGGGGAGGAGCTGGCCTTCTGCAGATCAACCAACTCTGACAGCTTGGTGGCTGCCAGATTCAGTTGAGGGTTCCTCACTTTCCTCACTGTCTTTCTCTTGTGCCTTTTTTCCTTCTTCCTCAGCTGCTTGATGATGTTTAGGGCCAACTCCCTCTCACTCTTGTCCATGGAGGCCAGCAGTGAGACCAGCACCACCTCGTGCTGGCCGAAGTAGCCGTTGAACTGGAGGTATGGAGTAAGCAGCTCCACTTCCTCCAGGGTGCAGTACGTCCTCACCCGGTTGATGATGGCGAGGAGGTGGCGTGGGCCCTCCAGTAGCAGATTCCTCTGCCTGATCTCCAGGAAGGAGGGCACGTAGATAAGGATGATGAAGGAGGTCATCCGTCTCTGTGACTCGCTGGGGGAGGTGGTGCTCATGTAGGCCCTCAGCTCCCTGCTCTCCGTGTTTTGCCATCTGGCGTTGGTCATGGCTCCGGCCCGTGCCCTGGCCCATCTCTCCTCAATGTGGCCGGACTCCACCGTCTTGGCCATCTCCAACAGATACCGGGTGTCCCAGCTGAACTCCTCCCAGACGACGGAGGGGATGGCATCCAGGAGAGACCTGAGGTAGGTGTTGGTGACGGCCTCGAATTCAACCACCGGAAGGTCCCACACGTTGCCGGTCAGCTTCCGAGCCTCCTCACCACTCCAGGAGGCGGGACCAGTGGTTGGGCCAGCGTAATGGTTGAATAGATGGCCGAAGAGCTTCTCCAGACTGTGGATCAGGCAGTGGATGTGGAGGAGAGGCCGTCCCAACAGCCTTTCAAACTCGGCGATGAAACCGTGATTATAGCCACTCAGTTTGTTGCAACCGTCGCTAAGGACAACCAGGAGGTCGGTGGTGTCAATACCGCGCTCCTCCAGGAAGGCCAGCAGGCTGGTGGCCAGGTCTACCCCCTTTCCCCCCACCGGGACCAGGTGACCAAGGAACTCCTCACCAGGGAAGCCGATCACTGCACAGTCTTCCCTCTTTTCCATGGCGAATCTCTTGTGGTTCTTCTCACCTACACCAGTCACTATCTTGTTCTCATTGATCCTCTCATCTACCATGAGACCTCTGACCTTGAATCCCCTGAACTTTTCTTTTTTCTGTTCTCGTGACCTCTTCCTGACTCTCTCCACTTTCTTCCAGTTAGTCACTTTAGACTTGTCCCCTTCAGTTATGATGTTGTCTGCAGCTCTGATGGTGTTTGCGATGTGAGCCACTGCATCAATGGATACCTTGAACCTGTCAGCAGTTTCTCCGATCCTGTCCTCGGCTTCTTTCTCCCTTTTCCTTTTCTCTGATCTTGCTCTCCTGTCGACCATAGCCTTGAACTCATTTTCATTGACATCCTTATAATCACTATCTTCTTCCTGAGCACTGTCATCCACTGCCGACACTTTACACGACATTCTCTCCATCTCCTCCTTACTCTTTGACCTCATCTTCTCAGTTTTCCTCTCTTCCTCAGCCCTTTTCTTTGCCCTCTTCGCTTCCTTCTCCCTCTCTTCTTTCAGCTTGGCAGTCACAATTTTGTCAACGCCATCAATGCAGCCCTCCCTTCCCGGTTTCCTCTGGGCTGCCAGGAAGCTTTTCTCTCGTTCGTGCACTTTGCTGTCGTCTGCCACATCAAACAACTTCTCAGCTATATCCTCGAACCTCATCTTCAGCTTCCCGTTCTTCGTTTTCTTCCTTTTCTGTTTCTGTCCATTTCCCTTCATCATCATCGTCTCCCTCCGCATCCTCCACAGGTCGTGGACTCTCATTTTCACCCTGATTTCAGAGATAGTGGGGACAGTGGCCTTCCTATACACATCCAGTACCTTCTCAGTCACCTTGTTGGTGGCATCCATATAATCAAAAGCATTTGTTCTTCTCCTTAACCTCTCGTTTTCTGCTTCATAAGCCAGGGCACTTCCAACTTCCTTGTTCAGAGGCAACTTGTTAGATGGCAGAGGCATCCGAACCCCGAACACCTTATCGTTACCCTGGCGCAGCTGAGTGTTGCTAATCTTAGGACGACCCATCTTGGTGGCGGCCCTTTGAACTAACTGCAAAACAACACAGAAAAAACAACTTTCAGCACTTCAATATCACCACCTATTGAACAATATTTTATTCAAAAGTACGGACTGAGATTTTGTCCTTAACTGTCCAAGTCAAGCTACTTGGGCTGAATTCGTTGATCAGTCCTGGGACGAATATTACCAACGGCGTGAATAGATTCCGTGGAATAAATTCAGGGCATTCCCGTCCAGGGAGCCTCAACAAACTCTGTAAATATTGCCATTGGCCTGCCATTGGCACATATACTGAGTTTGGTAATGTTGCATGAGCGGGAATGTCCTGAATTCATTCCACGGAATCTATCCACGCCGTTGGTAATATTGGGCCCTGGTTTTCGAAATATACGTATGTGGTGACTAGCAGCAAAAATATCGGCATAATTTGTAGCGCATTGAGTTGTAAAACAATAGCATATTATGAACCAGTGTACACAGTAGTCGAATAATCCAATTCAATAACTTGATTTTAACAGGTTGTGCCACATTGCCAGTCCCTTTATTATTTACAGTTTTTTCCCGTTTTTCATGCCAAACCCAAAAGTATCCACAAACCTTCTAATGCAATGATGTAAAAAACTCAAACATATTCGGAACCAACGTGGCCGATAGACAAATAATCCAACCCAAGCCACTTGATTTTGAAAACTTTTGCAAAACTGTCACTCCCTAATGTATATGCTGATAACCACATAGAAAACAAGTTCCCAAGCGCTTTCGTGTAATTCACATCTTCAGAGGTGAGTACAGACTAAGGACTAATTATTCGCAAAGCTAATATATACAATTTGTCTGTGTGTTTCCTCACCCGTTATAATTCAGGAAAAAAGACAAATATAACAAGTTATTATTTCTGACGTCAATAACCAGTTGTCGTTGGTGGCGCCAGACAACTGTAAACTACAGGCATAAGTTAGTAGACAGCTTCAGCCACTTCCATAATTTTATTGTTGTATACAGTAAAGATTATTTGGATCACTGAGGAAAGAGGCAGGGCAGCAAGTCTCTTGTAACAGAAAAGTTAATGCGTGGGAGTACTTAGTGTGGCGAGCACAACAACCTTGTACTGTCTGTACGTTTCTTACTCCTGTGAAAGACATTATCATACAAAACTGAGATGTTCTATAAACTAGGAAGATGGTTAGTGTACCATATATTGTGATGAGTGTGAGAACAATGGACCTCCACTAGTGTGAGCATGGATCGTTCTTAATTACTGTGTACCATATATTGTGATGAGTGGTCCTGCCCAGGGCTCTAACTATAACACCTTCATCAAAAACCTTCACTTCCTTGAGGAACAAATAGATACTAGATATTCTCACTACAACACTGTATTTTTCTTTATGAAACACGTCCACAGCATCACACCCAAAATACTCACTAACTGCTGCTGTACATTATCCCCCCAGACCCTGACCCAGTCACTGGCGTCAACGTGAACAACTATACAGACAACTCCACTCTGCTGGACGTGAGCTGGTCGGAGGTACAAGACGTCGGCAACTGTGACGTCACCTACAAGATCACCTGGAGTCCCGCCAGTAACGGTGATGGTAGTAATACAACTACTACCACCTCGCTGAGTTACATCATCACCCAGCTGGAGGCCTGGACCACCTACCACGTGTGTGTGGCCTCCAAGACGAACAGTAGCTACACTAGTGGCACATGCATGAATGGCACAACAGAGGAGGACAGTAAGTATTGCATGACTATGATGGTGAAGATGATGACGATGGTGATGCTGAATTTGATGGTTTTATAGTGATGGTGATGATTGTTATTATGGTAATGTTAATGTTGATAGTGATGATGGAGGTGATAGTGATGATGAGGCTGATGGTGCTGGTGATAAGAACATAAGAACATAAGAATGGAGGAAACTGCAGCGGGCCTATTGGCCCTTACTGGGCAGTCCCGTTTACACCCAACCCCGATTGCTCATATGAGCATCCAACCTATGTTTGAAGCTATTCATCGTATTCGAGTTAATGATGATATTTGGTAACTTGTTCCATTCATCCACTACTCTGTTTCCAAACCAGTGTTTACCTACTTTACGCCTAAATCCAAATTTGTCTAATTTAAAACCATTGTTACGAGTTCGCTTCTGGTTGGATAGTTTGAGTACCTTTGTAATGTCCCCTTTGTTTAGCCCTGACTTCCACTTATACACCTCTATCAGGTCGACCCTTGCTCTACGTCTCTCGAGGGAGTGCAAATTAAGATGCTTTAACCTGTCTCTATACTCAAGGTTCCTAATGCCGGGGATTAGTCTTGTCATTCTCCCCTGAATTCTTTCCAAGAATTCTATATCCATTCTGTAGTACGGTGACCAGAACTGAACTGCGTAATCCAGGTGTGGTCTCACAAGCGCAAGATACAGTGTTAGGATGACCTCGCTAGTCTTGTAACTAACACTCCTTTATATGAACCCAAGTACTTTATTCGCCTTGTTACGAGCAAAAACACATTGTTTACTTGGCTGAAGGTTCCTACTTATCATTACTCCTAAATCTCTCTCGCAGTCGGATTTCTCTATGGCATCGTTGTTCATCTGGAATCTGGTTTCCCTGTTTACATCTCCTATACTGAGTACTTTACATTTGTCCACGTTGAATATCATCTGCCATTTTTCAAACCATACGAAAAATTTGTTTAGATCTTCCTGTAGTTTTGTGGAGTCCTCGTCAGATTTAATAACACATCCTATTTTAGTGTCATCAGCAAATTTACTTATGTTGCTGTCTATGCCGATATCTATGTCGTTTATGTATATAATAAATAATAATGGTCCAAGTACTGAGCCTTGGGGAACTCCACTTGTGACGTTGCTCCAATGGGACTTAGTGCCGTTAATGCTCACTCTCTGTTTCCTGTCTTGTAACCACGCCCTAATCCATTTAAGGATGTTACCTTTGATGCCATGTGCTTCTACCTTTCTAATTAGTCTTTCGTGGGGGACTCTGTCGAAGGCTTTGCTAAAGTCGAGATATACCACATCATAATTGTGCCCCTCGTCCACCGATTCGAAAACTGATGAAAATAATGTTAATAGATTAGTTAGACAAGAACGTCCTCTTGTGAAGCCATGATAGGAATCATTGATCAATAGGTGCTTCTCCAGGTGATTTCGAATAGAGTTTGAAATGATTGCTTCCAGTAATTTGCCTACTATTGATGTTAGACTGATTGGGCAGTAGTTAGAGGATAGTGATCTATCCCCCTTCTTGAAAATCGGTATTACATTCGCTATCCTCCAGGATTCTGGTACTACACCTGTTTTTAAGGACATATTAAACAACTTTGCTAAGGGCGTACTAAGCTCTTCCTTACATTCCTTTAATACTCTGGCAAATATCTCATCGGGACCAGGTGACTTATTAGGCTTTAGTTTGTCTATTTGCTTACTAACATCGTTACTAGTCACTACTATCTCGCTTAATTCATTTTCTTCACTATATCTGAATAGAGCTGGTGCCTCGAGTATCATGTTTAAATTTTCGGTGGTAAAAACTGTTGAAAAATATTTATTCAAATTATTGCTCATTTCTCCGTCGTTATCAGTGAGCTCGCCGGTATCTGACAGTATTGGTCCAATCTTTTCTCGTGTTTTAGTTTGATACATTTGGTAGAATCCTTTGGGGTTTGTCTTCGCCTCCCTTACTATCCTTACCTCATTATTCCTCTTGGCTTTCCTTATCTCGGTTTTAACCCTACTCGCCAATATCCTATAATAATCCTGGACGTAAATTTCGCCACGCTTTATCCTTCTACCTATAACTTTCCTTTGGCCAATGATGTTCTTTAAATAATTATTTATCCATTTAGGGTCATTGTTGTCTCATCTGAGTTTTTTGTATGGTATGTTCTGCCTTTGTGCATTAAGTAACTCATTATTAAAATTGTCGTGGAACTCGGCAATCTCAGATCTCGTTATCAGGTCGGAGTCATCTGTCAGGTTCATGGCCAAGCGCGACACCCACTCTCTCAGCTGCCTCTTTAAGCTGTCAAAGTTTGCCCTTCTGAAATCTGGTACTTTTGTGGAATTTTCCTTACGTCTGCCCTGAAAATCTAACTGGAATCTAATTTCTTTGTGATCTCTGTTTGCAAGTTCGTTCCCTACCTCGACATTGCTAATGAGGTTTTCTCTGTTCGACAGAACTAAATCGAGTATATTATTACCCCGGGTTGGTTCGGTTATATGTTGACTTAGGAAACAATCCTGGATCGTCTCAAGAAAATCCTCTGATTCTGAGTTACCCGTAAGGTCAGTCCAATCTATTTGGCCAAGGTTAAAGTCGCCTACTATACAGACTTTGTTGTGTATAGAAACACTGCGCATTTCATCCCAGATAAGTCGCTCATTGACTACATCAAGATTGGGAGGTCTATATATTACTCCTGTGATTAATTTTCCCTACCGTCGATTAATTCTATCCAAATTGTTTCTGTATTCCGCTCAGTTTTTATTTCGTTATTTATTTCACACTTCAGATTATCCCTAACATAGATTGCTACTCCTCCTCATTTCCTGGTCTGCCTATCGGTATGGAACAATTTGTAACCCGCAATTTGGTATTCGATCGGCAACTCACGTGTGTCTAGGTTGATCCATGTGTCAATGAATGCTATTATATCGATTTTTTCAGTACATACCAAGGCCCTAATATCATCCATTTTGTTTCTCATACATCTACTCTTCGCGTAGTAGACATTTAAAAGTTAGTCGTGTTCTGAGTCCTCCCTTTACCGCGTTTAGTTTTAAACTCCCTGTTTAATTAAGTTTTGTCATCATTCCTAACACTATTTCCCTGTAATCTTTAATTTGTTTACCTGCTCCCACTGCAGTTTCCCCCACCCCCGTGCCCATATGTTCCCCTAGCAGTTTAAAGACTTCGATATCCTTTGAACTGCCCCCTCTAGAGACCCAGCCAGGGTTGCCACCCCATCCCAAGACAGGTGCACCCCATCCCTAGCACAAAGGTCCCTTCTGCCGTAGACGTTGTCCCAGTTGTCAATGAATGGGATTGATATTGACTTGCAATATCTGTCAAGACGGTCGTTGACACCAACCGCCCTTGACAAACATTCACTGCCAACTCTCCTTCTAGGCAGGACACCGCATATGATAGGGATCCCTCCCTTAGACCTAATACAATCTATAGCTGCCTTGAACTTATCAAGAAGCTCCTCGCTCTTACACAGGCCAATATCATTGCCTCCTGCACTGAGGCAGATAATGGGTTTGTCCCTATTACCAGACAAGATATTGTCCATCCTCTCAATTATATCCCCCACCCCTGCTCCTGGCAAACACACCCTCATCCTATTTTTGTTTTTACCACAAAAGGCCCTGGCAAATTATAGTGAGATACTGATGCTGGTGGTGGTGATATTGGTAGTTATGTTGGTAGTACATGGTGGTAGTGATGGTGGGAGTACATGGTGGTAGTGATGGTGGGAGTACATGGAAAAGGTGATGGTGGTAGTACAAGGTGGTGGTTATGGTGGTATTACATGGTGGTAGAGATGTATAAACGCCATTTGGGGAGGCCAATTTGTTTTTAGAAACCTTTGGGCGTGTCGGTTGAGACAACGGCACATAGGTGAACTGTTTATTCCAGGAGAATAGTTCACAAATTCCACTTGTTTTAACTAACAATGATCCCAGGAACCCCAGTCGAACTCAACTGCTAATGAGCACCAGTGGTAATTAAGATACTGGGGTCTGTTTGTATGTGACCTCCAAGAATCGAGGAATTCATACAAACACCAGTTTCGTATAATACATTCTGTATTAACACATAAAACAACAGTAAAAGCCGTATGTCCAGGGTGTATGCAATAATACAGTCAAAACGCAGAAGTAACAATCTGGTTTGTGGTAAGCATCAGTTTGACATATGAGTGTCCCACGACAGTCCAAGTGTGACTAACCCTCTTGGGCGATATTAATACGGAGGAAAAGTAAAGTCATTTAGTCACACATAAGGATATGACGTCATAATACATCTCTTAGAACATTTGAGAAGTTTATGACAGATCCTCCATATAAAGAACTCAGGTTTAAATATATATATATATATATATATATATATATATATATATATATATATATATATATATATATATATATATATATATATATATATATATATATATATATATATATATATTTCATGTAGATCGACAATGAAAACGTGGATAAGATAAATCTTGATAAAATCACACGGGAAAAGGGAAACAACGGAGCACCTTAGCTTTCGTCTTTATTCAAGACATCTTCAGAGCCAACTGGATTACATGGAGAGAGAGAGGCTTAAATATACAGGGTGACCTTATTAAACATGAGGTCAGGTCATAATAAACATTAGTGATGGTCAGTTCAAAACTGATAATATGTTACATAAATTTATTTGTCAGTGGCCCAAGGTTAAAAATGCTTTGAAAACCATTGATCTAGATGTAGGATAGTTATTTAGTGGGCCCCTTATTTTTTACCTGACCTGACTAGTCACGTCGCCCCCTTCTCTTAAGCTCCTCTACCTGTGTGTTGGTGTGGGGATTAGTGGATGACATCTTTATGACCTGACCTCATGTTTAATAAGGTCTTCCTGTATATTTAAGCCTCTCTCTGTCCATGTAATCCAATTGCCTCAAAAGATGTCTTGAAAAAAGACGAAAGCTAAGGTGC